TACAGTTATTTAAGCTTACATCAGGGGGATGTGTGTAATTTACCCTTATTTAATCTTACTTGGCTAATCTGATTTTGACAGCCAAACGAGACCTAAGGGGATAAAGGGCGATAAATCGAAAGAAAATGCAATTAATGCATTATTAGAATTTTAAAGTTTTAAGAAATTAATAATTTGGGACAAGTTAGTTATCAGTATAATGTTGTTTTATTGATTATTGTGTTATAAGCCAAAAACAATTTAGGATTGTATTTTCAAATTAAATGAAGGGTAAATTACAATCATTCGCGATATGGTCAAATTATAAAAAAAAAATTATCTTGTTTAAATAATTATACCTACCTCTCAACTATGAATCTTGTTATACATCCACCCTTATGGTGTCAAATTCAACATAATCTTCTAGATTTCGTGGAATGTGCTCTAGTTTGTACTTGTTTTTTCGAAAAAATACAGTTTCTAATGCACCACAAACTGATATATATACAAGCCAAAAAACACATCTTATGATCATCATGCTTCAAAATGTGGAGCTCGAATCGGATAAAACGGGTACAAAAGCGATAATATTCCATATAATCTAGAAAATTCCACTAAATTTGAAACCACAATGGTGGACCTGTAAGAAGATTTATAATTGATGGGTGATTGTAATTTACCCTACAATGAAAAAAAAATACTTTCTTTTTTATGTTATATTATTTTTTTATCATAAGCTTTAATAGAGATTAGGGATTGATATTGTGAAAAATATTTTATAGGAGAAATCATAATAGAAAGTTAAACTTAAAAGGTGGAAATAATTATTTATTTTTTTAATGTCGATATATAAATATTTGTAAATAAAAAAATTAATATATAATAGTGGATAATATACCAACCAATTACAAATAATTATATATATCCATTCAATATCAATAAGCATTAGTATATTATATATATATACTAGTAGTAAAAAAATAAAAAATTCTGGGGGGGCAACAGCCCCCCTTGCCCCATAGAAGCCCCGCCAATGATCGTGTGGGCAAGATGGCTTGTTCACCGTGGATGTGCAGCAGCAAGTAGAGGAATATTCCATGCACACTTTGACATGTATATATAAATAGAGTTAAAAAACGACCAAAAGAAAGTTTGACGTACGTGGTTATCTTACAACGTGGATGAGAGAATTTCAGTGGAATATATATATATATATATATATATATATATATATATATATATATATATATATATATATATATATATATATTGCCAGCATTGATACAGAGAGCACACGTAAGAAATTTCCACCATATTTTTATATGTTGTCAACATAGCACCGTTGATAAATTCAACAATGTTCTATTCTCTGTCTTATTTTATTAATTAGAGTATGTTTCTATTGGGGTTTTTAGTATGTGATATGCATAATTGGGCTAACCCAATGGGCCTACAAATTATTTACATACTGGGACACAAGCCCAATATCAAAGATCATTATCACTGAGGCCCAATCACCTTTAAGTAAGGTTTCGGCCCGACAATCTCAACTAAGCTATAAATAAAGGTTTGAACTCAATCCTTAAGGTACGTCCTATTTACTGAGCAATACTATTAACTGTATTCTCTAGACTATTTCTATGATCAGCACGTCTGACTTGAGCGTCGGAGGGGTTTCCGCCGGATCAACCCCGGCCTAGTTCACTTGTTCTATGATCGCAGGTACCTCAGGATCATCAAGTTGTCAAGCTACTGATCCGTTTTGCTCTCCCAGTTCGTTTTCTACCCTACCCCAGGTGATCTGAGTAATTAGCATCATCATTTTGGCGCCGTCTGTGGGAACGATGCAAACCAGATCACGTAGCCAACAAGATCCTCCTGAGGCGTCTGCTCGGAGAGAAAATAACACAGCTAACGACCTCCTACCTCGTGGAGGCTCTGGCTTGCCACCTACTCCACGTCCCATGGATCCGCCTCGCGAGGTTCAGGTGATCCCCCCTCGGGACCCACCACTCGCCGATCCACCACTCCCTGCTCATCGAATGGTTCAAATAACCGAGGATACGCTTCAACGCATGATATCGCCACGATGGGAGCAAATGCTCCCAACGCGATACCAGCACCTGCTCCATATGTGGAGCCACTTATGGCACCACCGCCATCAACTCCCTGGAGGCTTACATCGCCCCCAAAATATATCGTTCGCCAAGGGTTATCGACTCCCTGGGGGCTTACATCGCCCCCAAAATATTTCGTTCGCCAAGGGTTATCGACTCCCTGGGGGCTTACATCGCCCCCAAAATATTTCGTTCGCCAAGGGTTATCGACTTCCTGGAGGCTTACATTTGCCTCCAAAATATTTCGTTCGCCAAGGGTTATCGACTCCCTGGGGGTTCACAGTGCCCCCGAAACATTTCATTCGCCATGGGTCATCGACTCTCTAGGGGTCTACTTCCGCCCCCCTCAAACGGTTCAGATAACCGAAGAGGACCTTCAGCATATGATCGCCGAACCTTCAACAAGAGCAACTTCTACTTGCTCCTCTAACGGTTCAGATAACCGATGAGGACCTTCAGCGTATAATCGCGGAAGCTTCAACTTGTGCTACCACTGAAACAGTGGCACCATACATCGTCATAGCAGGAGCCAACGCTCCTCGTCGTGAGGCCCCACTGGGTCCTCAACATGATCAATTTCAACTTACTTCTCGAACGGTTCAGATAACCGAAGAAGACCTTCAGCGTATGATCACGAAAGATTCAACTCGTGCTACCACTGAATCAGTGGCACCATATATCGCCAAGGTTGGGCATCTCACCCCAGTGGTTTGTGATCGCCTCATCCTAAATGGGGGGCTATCCCATCCTAAAGTTGGGTATCTCATCTCAAGGGTGGTACATCCACTTTCCTTTCAACCCCAAGGGGTTTCACATCCCACCAAATGTTTCACGTCCCTACTTCAAAAAACAGAAAAAAGGGTCTGACGCGCACGCGCGAACCAATGGCACAACCGTGCGCATCCACCTCACACCATAGGTCTTGAGCGCCTCATCCTACAGTAGGCAGTTATCCCCATCCTAAGGTTGGGCATCACCCTTACCTTTCAACCCCAAGTGGGTTCACATCACATCTCAATGAACGAGGATAATCTCCCTACTCAAACAAATATAACATCCCCAAGGGGGTGCACATCCCATCTCAAAGAACGAGGATAATCTCCCTACCCAAAAAATAGAACATCCCCAAGGGGGGTTCACATCACATCGCAAGAGACGAGAATAATCTTCCTACTCAAAAAATAGAACATCCCCAAAGGGTGAATATCAACCACCAAAAAAAAAAAGGGGGTAAAATCGCGCACGCGAGACCCCAGAAGAAGAAAAAAAAGAGAGTAAAAGAAGAAGAATTAGAAGAAGATGAAGAAAAAAGAAACAAGAAAAAAAAAGGAGAAGAAACAAAGAGAAGAAAGAAGAAGAAAAAAGAGGAAGATGAAAAAACCGCCAAAAAAAAAAAAAAAAAAAAAAGTGAAAGAAGTGCAGCCAAGCCGCGCC